CAACAGCCCCACCTTTTCTCAGAGCCTTTACCAGGTACCAACAGCCATGGATATCTGCGCTTTGGGGTCCAGGGTTGCTGCTGGAGGGAACTGACAGACTAGAAGCAAGGTGGGCTGAATGCTGAAGTTGATCAGGAGGAAGAGAGGGTCCCATCTCAGACCAGCCTTTCCAAGCTCTGTGAAGTGTGTTTAGGTTGTGGATCCAGAATACCCAGAAATGGGGAGAGGGAAGGATATGGTAGACATTTCTCCTTCAAACACTAAGGAGTGTGGGAATGGGTGCCAAGCAGAACTCATGGGATCAGCTCAAGAACGGAGGCTGAGTGGGAAGCCCAGCCATGAACACATTTCCTTGTCCCTCAGGTGACGCTGCTTGAACACACCCCTCCGGGCAGTGCCATTCTCTCCGTCTCTGCCACTGACCGGGACTCCGGTGCCAATGGTCACATCTCCTACCACCTGGCTTCCCCCGCTGAGGGCTTCAGTGTTGACCCGAACAATGGTATGTCTTCCCCAGGAGCAGACGCCTCACATTTAGCCAGGTTGGGAGCCACATTCTAACCTCATTCCTAGAATTTGCTAGCTGAGGTCTTGACTGTAGATTCTCTGAGCCAGGGAGGATATCTTCTCCCTCTTCTCTCTCTCTTTTTTAAAGATTTATTATTTTTATTGGAAAGTCATATATACAGAGAGGAGGAGAGACAGAGAGGAAGATCTTCCATCCGTTGAGTCACTCCCCAAGTGGCTACAATGGCCGGCACTGAGCCAATCCAAAGCCAGGAGCCCGGAGCCTCTTCTAGGTCTCCCATATCGGTACAGGGTCCCAAGGCTTTGGGCCATCCTCAGCTACTTTCCCAGGCCACAAGCAGGGAGCTGGATGGGAAGCAGGGTGGCCAGGATACAAACCAGCACCCATATGGAATCCCGGCGCATGCAAGATGAGGACTTTAGCCGCTAGGATACTGTACCAGGCCCTTCTCCCTCTTCTCTTTACCCCTTTTGTTTATTACACGTCTAGAAGCTGAGCTTTAAATCTTTGAGATTATTCCATAATTTCCCAGCATGCATAATTTCCCTCCACTCCTCAGAGTCTGACTTCCAAAGCCATTTCCTAGACTCTGTCTCTTGACCCATAGCCACTGCTTAAATGTATGTTTGTTTCCCTTCTTTTCTCTTCTCAGGAACCTTATTCACAACAGTGGGAGCTGTGTCACTGGGCTATGAGGGACCAGGAGTGGTTGATGTGGTGCTGGAAGCAAGAGATCATGGGGCCCCAGGCCGGGCAGCCCGAGCCACAGTGCATGTGCAACTCCAGGACCAGAATGACCACTCCCCCAGCTTCACATTGCCGCACTACCGGGTAGCTGTGACTGAGGATCTGCCTCCTGGCTCCACCCTCCTCACCCTGGAGGCCACAGATGCCGACGGAAGCCGCACTCACGCTACTGTTGACTACAGCATCATCAGTGGCAACCGGGGCCAAGTCTTCCAGCTGGAACCCCGCCTGGCTGAGGCTGGGGAGGGTGGCGGACCAGGCCCCAGAGCACTGGGATGCCTGGTGCTGCTTGAGCCTCTAGACTTTGAAAGCCTAACACAGTACAATCTAACTGTGGCTGCAGCTGACCGAGGGCAGCCACCCCGCAGCTCGGCCGTGCCAGTCACTGTCACCATACTAGATGTCAATGACAACCCGCCTGTCTTTACCCGAGCATCCTATCATGTGGCAATACCCGAGGACACTGCTGTTGGAGCTGAGCTGCTGCACGTAGAGGCCTCTGATGCCGACCCTGGCCCTCACGGCCTCGTACGGTTCACCCTCAGCTCAGGAGACCCTGCAGGGCTGTTTGAGCTAGATGAGAGCTCGGGCACCTTGAAACTGGCCCACCCCCTGGACTGTGAGACCCAGATTCGACATCAGCTTGTGGTTCAGGCTGCTGACCCTGCTGGGACACACTTTGCTTTGGCACCCGTGACAGTCGAAGTCCAGGATGTGAATGACCATGGGCCAGCCTTCCCACTCAATTTGCTGAGCACCAGCCTGGCTGAGAACCAGCCCCCAGGCACTCTTGTTACCACTCTACATGCAATTGATGGGGATGCCGGGGTGTTTGGCAAGCTCCACTATAGCTTGCTGGAGGCTGGGCCAGGGCCTGAGGGCCGAGAGGCATTTGCCCTAAATAGCACAACAGGGGAGCTGCGGGCACGAGTGCCCTTTGACTACGAGCACACAGGAAGCTTCCGGCTGTTGGTGGGTGCTGCTGATGCTGGCAATCTCTCAGCCTCTGTCACTGTGTCGGTGCTGGTGACTGGAGAGGATGAATATGACCCTGTATTCCTCGCTCCAGCTTTCCACTTCCAAGTGCCAGAAGGTGCCCGGCGTGGCCACAACTTGGGTCATGTGCAGGCCACGGACGAGGATGGAGGTGCTGATGGCCTGGTGCTATATTCCCTTGCCGCCTCTTCCCCTTATTTTGGTATCAACCAGACTACAGGTGCTCTGTACTTGCGAGTGGATAGTCGGGCTCCAGGCAGCGGCACAGCCACCTCAGGGGGTGGAGGCCGGACACGGCGTGAGGCACCACGGGAGCTGAGACTAGAGGTGGTAGCCCGGGGACCGCTGCCTGGCTCCCGGAGTGCCACAGTGCCTGTGACTGTGGATATCACCCATACTGCATTGGGCCTGGCGCCTGACCTCAACCTGCTCTTGGTTGGGGCTGTGGCAGCCTCATTGGGAGTTGTGGTGGTGCTTGCACTGGCTGCTCTAGTCTTGGGGCTTGTTAGGGCCCGTAGCCGCAAGGCTGAGGCAGCCCCAGGCCCCATGTCACAGGCAGCACCGCTAGCCAGTGGCTCCCTGCAGAAGCTGGGCCGGGAGCCACCCAGTCCACCACCCTCTGAGCATCTTTATCACCAGACTCTCCCCAGCTATGGCGGGCCAGGAACTGGAGGACCCTATCCCCGAGGAGGCTCCCTGGACCCTTCACACTCAAGTGGCCGAGGCTCAGCAGAAGCTGCAGAGGATGATGAGATCCGCATGATCAATGAGTTCCCCCGTGTGGCCAGTGTGGCCTCCTCCCTGGCTGCCCGTGGCCCTGACTCAGGCATCCAACAGGATGCAGATGGACTAAGTGACACATCCTGCGAACCACCTGCCCCCGACACCTGGTATAAGGGCCGGAAGGCAGGGCTGCTGCTGCCAGGTGCAGGAGCCACACTGTACCGCGAGGAAGGCCCCCCAGCCACTGCCACGGCCTTCCTGGGAGGCTGTGGCCTAAGTCCTGCACCCACTGGGGACTACGGCTTTCCAGCAGACGGCAAGCCATGTGTGGCAGGTGCACTGACAGCCATCGTGGCTGGTGAGGAGGAGCTCCGTGGCAGCTATAACTGGGACTACCTGCTAAGTTGGTGCCCTCAGTTCCAGCCGCTGGCCAGTGTCTTCACAGAAATCGCTCGACTCAAGGATGAAGCTCGACCATGTCCCCCAGCCCCCCGTATTGACCCACCACCCCTCATCACTGCTGTGGCCCACCCTGGAGCCAAGTCTGTGCCCCCCAAACCAGCCAGCACAGCTGCAACCCGGGCCATCTTCCCACCGGCCTCTCATCGCTCACCCATCAGCCACGAAGGCTCCCTCTCCTCAGCTGCCATGTCCCCCAGCTTCTCACCTTCACTGTCTCCTCTGGCTGCTCGCTCACCTGTTGTCTCACCATTTGGAGTGGCCCAGGGCCCCTCCACCTCAGCACTCAGTGCAGAGTCTGGCCTGGAGCCACCCGATGACACAGAGCTGCACATCTAGCTGTGGCCCAGGCTGGGCCCCGACCTGGGATGCGAACCGTGTCCCCAACGCAGGCCCCACTCTGAGCCTGCCCTGAGCAGCCTCGGACTGTGACTAGCCAGGGGAAGGCCACCACCAGGCCCCAGCTCTCCACCCCAAACTCTTCCAGTGGGGGACGGGACCCACAGTTCATCCCAGCCCCCTCAGAGCAATAGGACCACAGAGGCCCTGTTAGTCACTGACCTGTGACCAGGTCCAATGTGGGGAGCAATATGAAGGCGGTGGCAGCCCTGGGTTCTCAGTGAGGACTTCTTGCCCTGTGCCAGCACCCTGAGGTGGAGCTGAGACTTTATTTATTGGGGGGTAGGGGGTGGTGGTGGTCCCTCCAACTTGTTTGGGCCCAGCTCCTTTGGGTTCCTCTGACACTCTTACCCCTGCCAAGAACAAGTGCCAATTCTCACTCTGGAGCCTTAATAAACTGCAGTTTGTATCCAGCCTCCGGCTCTGTTCTGTGGGGATGACTGGAAGGCACTGAACTGTGGACACCTCGGGGACAGCAGGGTGGTACACCTGGGGACCTCAGCAGCTCAGGAGCCCTGCCTGCGGCCCACAGCCATATCTCTTGCAGTCAAATCTTTGTGCCGCTTACTTGGGCGAAAAATTATTAGGAGCTTGCCTGTAGCAGCAACCTGGAAAGGGACTGGCTGGGTGGGGAGGCATCCTAAGGATGACCACCTGAGGATCTTAAAAGAGGCAATGCTGGAAACAAGAGTAGTCCATTAATTTATCTGTTTTTCTTCAAGGCATAAAAACAGCCGCATTGTAAAAAGGAAGTCACATTTGTGGAGTCTCTGCCATGTCAGGCACTCTGCTGGGCAATTTGCTTGCATTATCTCAGTGTAAAATTTCATTGCAACTCCATGATGCAGATCACTTATACAATCGTCACTGTCAAATATATGAGGAAACCTGGGCTCTGAGAGTTTTCTTTCCTGACATCCAGCTAGAAAAAAAGCCAGGTCTGGGGTCATCCAGAGCTTATGACTCTTGGAGGCCAAATTCAAACAGTCGGTGGGAAGTCCTGGGTTTACAAAGTGCTCTCTGGCATGAAAGGGAGACTGAGAGGCAGCCCCGCCCTTTCCCAGCATTCAGGACAGCCCATGCGAGGGAGGAGCCAGCACCGTCAATAGTTACTAGGCAGGCTGGAAGTGCTCGTGTACAGAGAGCTCATGTGATCCATCACATGACAGCAGATCTGCAGAAAGGCGGAATGGGACTCCAAGGCTGGTGAGACATGACTGGGAGGGTCGGGAGAAGGGGAGACTATTGGAGGGATTACATACTGGACGTGGGAATACAATGATAATCCAGCTCATGAATGAAATCCACCTGCCCCCCACCTTGCAGCCTTCTAGGGCTCCTTGCCCTCATCATCACTGGCAAATGCAGTTACAGCCCGGAACCTGATCAGCAATGGACGTGAGTTTACTACTGATTCCCTTCCTTTCCAGTGCCCTGTTCTGTACCTCCCTGTCTTGGTTCTACCCTCCCTTGTCCCTGTACCAGAGGCTCAGCCCCAGGTTTCCAGATTTAGTCCCCTAAGGTGCACCTCCTGTGAACCATAGCCTCTTCTGCGATCTGACGCATGGTCTCAGCTGCCAATCCGGGACTCTCCAGGACCCATACTTTCCGTTCCCACCCTAACCAAAGCCATGTGTATAACCCCTGGCTTTGCAGGTTGCCCCCAGGCTGGGTGTCCCTGGGACGTGTGGACCCTGAGGAAGAGCTGAGTCTCACCTTTGCCTTGAGACAGCGGAACGTGGACAAGCTCTCGGAGCTGGTGCAGGCTGTGTCGGATCCTGGCTCTCCTCGCTACGGTGCCTGTTGGGACAGGGAGCAAGAAGTTGGAGGGACATAGGAGTGGGCTGGGCATGGGATGGTGCAAATCTCGCCAAGTCATGCTCTCTCTTGGTACCTATCAGGGAGGTAATATAAGGCAGATGAATAGCAGTTATTGTGATGGAAGAGTTTCTGTGTGAAGTAGAACTTAATTATTCAAAACTAACTCAGATCCCCCGCACAAAAAAAAAAAAAAAAAAATTCCACTGTGTTTCTCAGTCTAGAAACCAAAAACTAGATGTGGTTAAAAATACATGATTTGTGATCAGATCTGGACTGAAACTCTGACTCCATTACTTCCTGATTACCAGAAAATGGGGAAATAACACACAGTAACACATTAACCCCCACCTCAAATCTCTTCTTACAACCTGCTCTGTTCAGACACTAAAACTGCCAGATTTACTTCCTCCATAAGCTTTGTAGTAGTTTCCCTCTGGCAATCCCTCAATGCCACCAACTCAGTTGTTCATTCTTTCTCCTGGAGTATTGCCCAGCTCCCTCACTGGTCTTCATTCTCCATCCTTCTACCCCTCTGTACTCCCCATTCTGCTTTTTAGCAGTCTCTGCAAGGGTTAAACTGGATTGTATCCTTCCCTTGGCTAAAGCCCTTCATGGCAGGGTCAGCCTGTGAGAGAAAAGGGTGGAGGTAAGGGAGAGGGGGCAGTTTCAGATCTCCCAAGAGGTGAAAACTAGTTTGTATGGTTCTATGCAGGAAAAAGTGACTCACCACCATGTCAAGCTTAAAATCGAGAAATGGAAAAGTTTGAGATAAGCAAGATATTACCTTATAATTGACTCCAAGAAATCTGAAATTTAAAATGGAAGTTGAAGTCTGTTAACTTCTTCTCTCACCTACTCTACCTCCATGATCGTGGCAGTGCATACTGGAGTGCAGCATCTATAACTGACCAGCCTTTAGGATAAATCCATATTCTTGGCCATGACATTCCAAGCCTCTCCTGCGTTTGTTCTCTGCCCTCCAGATACAAGAATGCCTGTCCTGCTTTCTTTTATCCTGCTCCAGACTCTCTTGGAAGTTGTAATGATTCTTGGTTGGGGTCTAGAGAAGGCATCTTAGGAAAGCAAAGAATAAAGAAGAATAAAGATTCTTCTGAATCTCTGCAGGAAAATACTTAACCCTAGAGGAAGTCGCTGAGCTAATCCGGCCATCACCACTAACCCTCCACACTGTCCACAAGTGGCTGTTGGCAGCTGGAGCCCGGGAGTGTGATTCAGTGACCACACAGGACTTTCTCACTTGCTGGCTGAAAGTTCGGTGAGAGAGAATGATTGGCCATACAAAACACCAATCATCCCACAAGAGAGGGAGACTAACCACCTCAATGGGAGGGAGTTGGGAGCTTGCTCAGTGTACATGGGTGCTGCATAATGCTAGAGACGGTGATGGCTGACTGCCCCATGATGTTCAGGCACTCCTCTGCTCCATTTTGTGCTTTCTGACTCTTACTCTTTGATCTCTGACTTCCAGACAGGCAGAGCTGCTACTCTCTGGGGCTGAGTTCCATCGCTATGTGGGAGGCCCTGCAGCGACGCGTGTTGTAAGGTCCCCACATCCCTACCAGCTCCCTCAGGCCTTGGCTCCTCATGTGGACTTTGGTAAGCCCAGTGGGGTTGGTGGAGCTTGGGGAAGGCAGATACAGGAGATGGACAAGTTTAGGTGCTGTGTGGGCAAAGGATGGAACAAAGGTAAAGTGGGTGTTAAGGCCTATTGAGACATCCTTTTCAAGCCTGACCCCTTCCACAGTGGGGGGACTGCACCGCTTTCCCCCAATATCATCCCTGAGGCAACGCCCTGAGCCACAGGTGGCAGGCACTGTTGGCCTGCACCTGGGAGTGACCCCTTCAGTGATCCGTAAGCGATACAACTTGACTGCACAAGATGTGGGCTCCGGCACCACCAACAACAGCCAGGCCTGTGCCCAGGTGAGCAAAGAAAAAAGCCCCAAGAACCTGACAACCTCCCCAGGGTATCTACAGGGTCTTCCCTCCTGAGTTGCACTCTGATCTATCATCCATGCTGTGACTCTTCTCATAGTTTCTGGAGCAGTACTTCCATGACTCAGACCTGGCCGAGTTCATGCGCCTCTTTGGTAGCAACTTCCCACACCAATCATCAGTAGCCCGAGTGATCGGAAAACAGGGCCGGGGCCGAGCTGGGATTGAGGCCAGTCTGGATGTGGAATACCTGATGAGTGCTGGTGCAAACATCTCCACCTGGGTCTACAGTAGCCCTGGTACTGCCAAGGGGATCAGCTGGTGGGGGAGTGGGTAGGAGGATGTTTGTTGATCCCTGCTCCCTCAAATAAAGACCATGAGCTGGAGAAAGAGTCTTCAGTAGCTACTTGTGTGCCCATCACCCTCCCCATCCTCACCACCCCCACCAAAAACCTTCCAGGCCGTCATGAGGGACAGGAACCCTTTCTTCAATGGCTCCTGCTGCTTAGCAATGAGTCCACCCTGCCGCATGTGCATACCGTGAGCTATGGAGACGATGAGGACTCTCTCAGCAGTGCCTATATCCAACGGGTCAATACTGAGTTCATGAAAGCTGCTGCTCGGGGGATCACCCTACTTTTTGCCTCAGGTGACTTTCTGTCCTAAGTTTAGACTTCCCACTGCCTCACCCACCCTACTGAGAGCCATGGGTCCTTAGTGATCCTAGTGAGCTTGGTCTGACTCTTCATTTAAACTCGGTCTCTAAACAGAGACCACTGACTTGATCTCTACACTCTGATCTCCTGTAATAACAACTGACACCTGGATTTCCTTCCTAATGTCTAAATCTACACATCAAGCTCTGATCAACTAATATGAGTGCTAAACTTGTTCTCTCTCCTAGGTGACAGTGGGGCCGGCTGTTGGTCTGTCTCTGGAAGACACCAGTTCCGACCTAGCTTCCCTGCTTCCAGGTAAGCACCCGAAACCATCTGTTACCTGTAACCACAGGCCTCATCATGGAGTACATGACCTAGGACCACAGGTTTGACCAGACAGGTGCTCCTATAGCTTGGCCTCTAGTTTTACCTGCCCTGCTTGCTGTCTTTCCCTTCTTTTTCATTGATAATCCTATTTCCAACAGTCAGTCTTCAACTACTATTTATAGGTTTTTTCTATGTTAACTTATAAACCATACTTTTATGTGGAAACTCTAATACTTAAAGAAAGCAGATAGATAAAAGAAATAAATGAAGTTGGAAAGTAGTTGGGATGGGAATGAATGAAAATTAAAACATTCCCCTGTTGAGGGCCTGTCATAGATGTCTATGTGCTGCAGGTGGATGAGTTTGTGCAACACTTCATCAGACAGTACTCAATCTTCTGATACACGATGCATTTTCACTCTTGTATCTCCTTCTCCAAAAGCTTCTTATAACCCACTAAGGAGTCATGACTCTAGCTCTCAATATATGAGCTAGAGAGGTATACCTTTCTCCAAGGGACTGGGGTCTCAGGCTCCAAGTACCCTGGGTGGGGTATGGCTCCCAGTGTTCCCCTTCCTCAGTCCCAGACATTTTAGAAGACTTAGCAGGTTTTCAGTGGAGAAAATTGTGAACAGTAAGCTCAGGCCATGTCTTGATGGCTCAAAACCTCTTGCACTATATCATGCACATGTTTGCCCAAGCATCTACCCACTCCAGAAAGACCCACACTCTTCTCATCCATCCCCACACATCTTGAAGGTCCTCTGGGGTCACCTCCTATATGAATGCTGTCTTCTGTCCTCAGCCCCTATGTTACCACAGTGGGAGGCACATCTTTCCAGAATCCTTTCCTTGTCACCAATGAAATTGTTGATTACATCAGTGGTGGTGGCTTCAGCAATGTGTTTCCACGGCCTTCATATCAGGTATAAATGTGTGTGAATGGATGGGCCAGGGGAGAGCCTCAGTTTAGCAGGCAGCTGAGCAGGTTTCACGGCTCAATACTCATTCAGCAATGCCTTTCAGGAAGAAGCCGTAACCCAGTTCCTGAACACAAGTCCCCATCTGCCACCACAAAGTTACTTCAATGCCAGCGGCCGTGCCTACCCAGATGTAGCTGCACTTTCTGATGGCTACTGGGTGGTCAGCAACAGAGTGCCCATTCCGTGGGTATCTGGAACTTCGGTGAGAATCAGCCTAACTCCAAACCCTACCTCCTGAACTAGACTTTGCAGCCAGATCCTACCAAATACCCACGTCTCCCTCAGACTCAGATACTCTGAACTCCTGACCTATACTTGCACCCCCTCCTTCACAGGCCTCCACCCCAGTATTTGGAGGACTCCTATCCTTGGTAAATGAGCACAGACTCCTCAGTGGTCGTCCCCCTCTTGGCTTTCTCAACCCAAGGCTCTACCAGCAGCATGGGGCAGGACTGTTTGATGTGAGTATGAAACAGAAGGCTGTGGTATAATTAAGGGGAGTGCTAAGATGAACTTGGGGGAAGTTCTGGCAGTGTCCTAGCCTCTAGGATATGAATACAGGACAAGAAGGTACAGTGTGTGTTACTACTGCATCAGCACATGTGGATCTGATGCCCTTTTCTTCCCTAGGTAACCCATGGCTGCCATGAGTCCTGTTTGAATGAAGAAGTGGAGGGTCAAGGTTTCTGCTCTGGCCCTGGCTGGGATCCTGTAACAGGCTGGGGAACACCCAACTTTCCAGCTCTGCTGAAGACATTACTCAACCCTTGACCTGTCCTTGCCCTACAGCTGGTGGCTCAGTCTCTGACAGGGCCCTGGAGGAAATTCTGCCAAGCCCTCAAATGCTGGCTGCTTCTGTTCATCTCCCTAACCCTGAAATGCTGTGAGCTTGACTTGATTCCCAGCCATACTCCAACCCATCAACATACTCAGGTCTCCCTACTCTTGCCTCAAGTTCTCAATAAGACACTATAACCAGTGCTCTTGTGGCTGCCTCCTCTCTTCCCCTCTTTAACCAGGCCTTTCCCATGGGATCTCTACACTGACTGATACTGAGAAACAGCAGCTTTCCTGCTGCTTCGTCCACTGCACACTTGCCAATCTTTGCTTTCCATCGTGGTCAGCTTCTGCCCTGGCATCCAGGATTTAGCCTTTCTCTGACCATTCATCTCTCCTTCCTTCATGGGCTTCTCTTTTTCTGCTTCCTCTTAGAGTATCAGAGTTCTTCACCACTCCTTTTTAAATCTTTTCTTCATCTCACTTTACTCATAGTCCCATAGAACAAATCAGTGGCATGTACAGCCATCACTATTTCACTAAACGAGACTTTCCGTACAGTAGTAGTTAGATGCCTCAAATACAGGATGTGTGACACTCAATACTTATCTCCTACCATCTCAGTCCCAAACCAATTCATCTATTATTTGTCTCTGGTAAACTATATTCTGTGTCTTCCAACCGAGCCTAAAATCTGTGCCGTCCTGACACCTATTTCCTTCACTTGCCATCACAGTCAATCAACAACTCCATCTGATTTGCCTCTTAAAGCCAAAGTCTAAATCCAACTACAATTCCTTCCAGTTACACTTAAGTGTATTTGGAATTTAGCCATTCTCTCCATTCCCACTGCCACCATATTAGCTTTGACTATAGTCTCTCTCCTCAGAATTCTAGGAGGCCCTTACAAATACAGTGTCCAAGCTACCTACCCAATCTTGATCTGTCTTCTAGAGTAAAATGTAAAACTCTCCAGGCCAAAACCTTGATCAAAACCTTTCAGAGATTATGGGTAAAGTTCAGGCTTGGTTCACAAACCTTCCTCTGCTATTTGTTCCTGAAAACAAATAATTTTTCCTCCCATTTTTACAACCCCCTAAGGAACTCACTCTAGTTGAAGCCATTGTGTCCCGTTAATGCCACCCTTGATACAATGGCCTGGTTCATTTCCAGGATTCTTTCAAGACCACTCTAAAGTCATCCTCTTGTATGAAGGCTTTGATTATCCAAGGTTAACTGATTTTTGTGTGGCAGAAAGATCCTAGAGTTTTGGAAAAAAACTTTGTTGAGTTTTCCAACACAGAGAGCCTTGAGCAAGTGACTATCTCCTTGAACCTGTTTCCTGTCATCAATACCTGCCTTTCATAACAATCAGGGAATAATTCTGCGGAATAATGCCAGTGGAGCACTGGCAGCTGGAAGTAGGCGGCAGATGTTCCCCTTCTCCCTTGCACTGCAAACACTGTGCCTACCTCTAGCACTGTAACACCAACATGGTATTAAATTGCCAGTTTACCTCTCTTTCCAAGACCACTGGTGCCTAGAAGACTAGAGTCTTGCCCAACTCAATTTTATTTCCAGTCCCTGGCTCTGGAATCGGCAAATGCAAATTAAATAAACATTTGTTGAATAGAAAACTGCATGTTTTTCGCTCGACTTGATTTTCTTTCCAGAAGCTGAAACACCCTCTTCTCTATCTACTGGAGGCGGGGTGGGGAGAGGTAGCTTCCCTATTCATCTTAAAAGAAACTAGAGGGTACAGACTGACAGACTATCGCGTCAAGGGGTGCCGGGCCGACGAGCCCCGAATCAAGGACTTAGAACGTACGATGGAACGAAGAGTGCTCGACCCGCGTTAGACTCCTGCACCCATCGTGTGGAACCGACTGGGAGCGCCGCTGGAGGGACAGCAGCAGAATGGCGGCAGCCTCGCCGCGCGGGTTCGGCCTCAGCCCCGCAGCTCCGTCACGCAGTCAAGGGCGGGCAGTGGGCGGGGCCAGCGCCGTGGGCGGGGCGCGTGGCGTCACCCGGGCGTGCGTGCCCTGAGCGGAAGCGGAAGCGGCTCTGTTCGCCGCCTCTCCCACCAGCCCGATGAGCTGCAGCGGCTCCGGCGCGGACCCCGAGGCGGCGCCGGCCTCCGCCGCCGCCTCGGCCCCGGGCCCGGCGCCCCCGGTCTCGGCTCCCGCCGCGCTGCCCGCCAGCACAGCCGCGGAGAACAAGGCCAGCCCCGCGGGGACGGCGGGGGGCCCTGGGGCTGGAGCCGCGGCCGGGGGCGCGGGACCCGTGGCGGCGCGGGCCGGGGAGCCCACCGAACGGCGCGGGGCGGGTGAGGGCCGGGCCGGGTGAGGGGCAGCGCAGGGCAGGGCAGCGCTCGGACGGGGCTGCGAGGCGGAGCCGCCCGGGGTCCTGCGCCTGCCACCTGCGTGTCTCAGTGTGCTGCTTCTCCTCCAGCTCCGGTGTCGGCGGGCGGCGCGGCGCCCCCGGAGGGAGCCATGTCGAACGGGGTTTACGTGCTTCCGAGCGCGGCCAACGGAGAGGTGAAGCCTGTGGTGTCCAGCACGCCTCTGGTGGACTTCTTGATGCAGCTGGAGGACTATACGCCTACGGTGGGCTTCCCGCCCAAACGAGGCCAGCCGACCCTCAGCCTGGCCGACTTGCAGCCACACCCTACTCGCTTTCCAACGGCCTCGTCTTATATTTGCTTCCCTATATTTGCTCCTTTGATTTATCCCCTCTACCCAGCCAGATTGTGAGCTTCTTGGTAGCCAGGCCTATCCTGAACCATCGGGAGCAGGGCGAACGCTGACAGCTGTCTCGTTGATTTCCCAGATCCCAGACGCAGTGACTGGTTACTACTTGAACCGTGCTGGCTTTGAGGCCTCAGACCCACGCATGTGAGTAAACCCAGGGTAGGCTGGAGCTTTGAGGGATCCTGCGGGTTGTTGGCCATCTTCTTGTAACACTTTTTTCTCTCTAGAATCCGGCTCATCTCCCTAGCTGCCCAGAAATTCATCTCAGATATTGCCAACGATGCCCTACAGCACTGCAAAATGAAGGGCACAGCCTCTGGCAGCTCCCGGAGCAAGAGCAAGGTGTGAGGGGAAGCTCACCTGATCAGTAATTGCCCTCCCCAGCAGTGGAGGCTTGGCTAATCCCCAGTCCCCTGTGGGGAAGCCCTGTCCTAGGGGAGGTGTCAGGCGGCTCAGGCTCACCCACCTTGGGTGCCCGTCTGGCATTCCTGTGCTCAGCTGGTACTCTCCCTCTTCCCTCAGGACCGCAAGTACACTCTAACCATGGAGGACTTGACCCCTGCCCTCAGCGAGTATGGCATCAATGTGAAGAAGCCGCACTACTTCACCTGAGCCACATCACCTAAATGTACTTTTCTGTCCCCATGTCCCCACACCAGCCTGTTTTCATAATAAACTTTATTGTGACAGGCGGGGCTGATCCCTCCCACGCTGGGAGACACCGTGTGGCAAGTGACAAAGCTCTGAGCCCAGCCCCCTTTGGGGCCGCAGTGATAGGGATGGGGCCAGGGCATGGGCCCGTGGCTGGGATAGTACCATGACTGGAGGAAGGGGAGGCAGCCAGAGGCCCACTGCTTTGGGGAGTTGCACTCCCCCAACCATGTCCTGACACCTTGCAGTTTAGGCAAGGACCCTGTAGTTCTATTTGTCCTGCATCTTCTCCAGGATAGGCACAATCATGTCAAACTTGGGCCGCTTGGCAGGGTCCTCATTCATGCAGATCTTCATGAGCTTGCACACATGGGGGGAAATACCTGGTGGGATGGTTGGCCGAAGGCCTTCCAGTGCCACCTGTGAATACAAGGAAAAACTGAGCTGAGAATTGAGTCTATCAGGAAGAAGCCAGCCCTCGGTCAGTGTTCTGTATCTGAACCAATGTGGGTTAAGCTACAGTTATTGTCACCACACCCATCCCACCCCCTCTGTCCCAGCATAAGGGCAGGCAGTTCTGTTCTCACCTTCATTCCGATCTCCATATTGGAGAGGTCAGCAAAAGGCACCTCTCTTGTCACCAGTTCCCACAAAAGCACTGCAAAACTCCACATGTCTGCTGAGCGTCTGTTTGTATCTTCAGGCTTTTTCTGCAAAGCTGGGGAGACAGGGAGTGTTGGCTGCAGCTGCCAGTCTGACATGTCTCCGCCCTCTTCCACTGCTACTGAGCTGGTCATTGTCTACCTCCCAACTTGATACCCTCACCCACCTTCAGGGGCTACCCAGGCGGGTGCATACATGCGTCCAGGGCATTGGAAAGAGAACTTGACATCAGCCATGCTGATCCGGGCAGTCATGTCCTCATCAATCTGAAGAAAAGATAGTATGTGGAAGTGAGTCTAGTTAGGCAAAAAGCTGTCAGAACTGGCCCAGGGTGAATGTGTGGCCTTACCATTACACTGCGGCTGTTGAGTGCATGCCGTGGGATGAGGGGCTCTAGTGTGTGTAGGAATGCCATGCCCCTTGCCATGTCCAAAGCAAACTTCACAGCTTGGCTCTGGTCCACCACAAAATCTAAGGTGACGAAGGGACAAATGGTGTAGAGAGGCTCATGTACCATTCCTCACCCCCACCCCAGTAAAATTCAGCACCCCTACTCACTGGTGCCTTCATGTAGTACATTGTAGAGAGATCCATACGGCATCCAGTGCGTGATGAGGGTGGGGTGAGGAGCAGGTGGAGACTGGCAGGCTCCTAGCACTGGGAGAACATTGGGATGCGAGAAAATCCTGGGAGAGGGAGAGAGCCATCTGTGGCTGAGACCTAGGGAATACCCCTCTCAGTGGTATTCCAGGTTCCTTGGAACCAGTGGCTTCCAGTTTGGGCCTTGTCCCACCTGAGCCGAGGACATTCCTCATTGAAGTCCCTGCTCTTCCTTGTACTCCAGTCTCGAACCTTCAGCACCTTCACGACAATGTCATTACCCTGCCATCGGCCTTTCCACAACTGAAGGAGAGGTGGGGATTAGGCTTTAATTAAGGCCGCCCCTTCCTTACCTACCATCTGCAGGAGAACTTAAAAACAGGTGTAAAGCAGGTGACTGCAGGGGGATTAAGGAAGGGCAGAAATCACCTCTCCTGAGTGATTCTCATTGAGCTTTGCCACAAAGTTGAGCTGTTTGAAGTCAATGCCCGAGTGCTTGTTCAGGGTCCCGTTTCCTGAGAACGTGGACAGGTCAGGCAGCCAGCGGCAACACCCACCCAGCCGCAGGAGCCCAAGGTCATTCTGCATTACAACTTCTCCTCCCCCTCCCCCACAGCATGACTCACGGGGCCGAGTGCGGGTGGTCCCCTTCCAGAACGTGTCCTTGTATGGAATACGGTTCAGATTCTGGCCCATCTTCTCTGCTCGCTCTGAGGAAAGAAAAGCAGTCTTAGCTTAAGCTGGGGGAGGGGACGAGTGGGAGGGACAGAATGATAAAAGCTGGGGGTGGGAGGTGGACCTTGGAGAAGCTGTCTGAGGGGTGGCTTGGCTTTGTCCACAGGCATCTCTCCATACTTGTTGCATATGCTGACAAGGGCCCCGTTAGCTACCAGGTCCTGGAATGAGAAGGTTGTAATAAGGACCCTTGCTACTTCCCTGGCAGTCCCAGCCGACCATGAACACACATGTGCTATACACACCCCCTTGAGTATCACACAGTAGGACTAACAGGTTGAATTCCAGAATATTCTCAGGCTCAAAAGTTGCTTCTCACCAATCCCAGAACTCACCTCTGCCACTTGGTCTTGGCCCCAGAAGCAGGCATAGTGCAGGGGCACATTCCCATGCTCATTCACTGCGTTAATGTCAGCCTTGTACTGCAACAGCTGGGGGCCACAGCCAAAGAGAAAAGCAGTCAGTTCTAAATGAATTCCCCAGGCCAGCATGTGGGAAAGAGGAGCAGACACTTTGTACGACATGTTACAGTGCCTGTGGTGGACCTTAAGGCATGTATGGGATGTGGGTGACAGAGTTTGTACACACCTTCTGTACAATGTCACGATGTCCGTGACTGGCAGCCAGGTGCAGAGGGGTGTCATCCCCGCGATTCATCACATTGATCCGTGCCCCCCGCATGATCAGCATCTCAACCACAGCGGAGCGACCCTCTCGGCAGGCCCAGTGCAAGGGGGAGAAGCCATGGTCATCCCTTTGAGAAATGGACAATGGTAATTAAAGTCACATCCTGTACTCTCAAGGAAAGCTTACTTCTTAAGGACCTCAATTCTTGCTCAGCTCCCAAAGCTGTGCAGGTCAGCCCTTACCTTGACCTTCATAACTAACCTAGATACCCCATCAATTCTTATAGAATTCAGTTTTTCCCTGACCCTATTTGTTTTTTCTTCATCCCTTATGCAATGTCTGTTAGTCCTGTTTTTCACTGCATCTTGCACACATATCCTCCTACTATTGCATTTGCCACTGAATTGTAAAAGTTTGGTAAGGGACTGCTTTGCCTGGTAGACTGTCTTCTTGAGGGACTAATATCCGGTATCTACTGCATGTCAAGGGGGAAAAGCGGATCCCTTGGAAAAGGAAGGCCACACTCGGCGGAGAGAGCAAGCTTACTGTTTGACTATGGCACTGAACTCTAAAAATGGAAAGGAATTAAAATGGTGTTATGGAGGGGTCTA